GTTCACTGATAATCTGCCAAATTTTGTTAACATCCACTCACTAATTTAAAACTTATAGCATGAAAACTATAACAAGCACAAAATGGTTATGAGGTCGGTCCCAGGGACCGAGCCCGTGCTGAAAGAGTTAATACTTGTAGGTAGATAAATTTTTACTACTTCACATTTAATCTTCAGAAGGTAACAAGAGAAGAGTATTTTGGAGAAACGGAACGTAAATAAACTTTCAGTACTAAGTGTCTTTGTAAGCCTTTTGTTGTAAACACAAATTTTTAGGATGGTAATTTCCTTCTCTGTAAACTTAGTACAGTTATACTTATCAGTGTAACTACTTGTAATCAGCTAAACTCTTAAGAATTTCTTTTTCAGATGATCCCATCATCTCTAGACCCCAACACACTCCAGTATGGTACACTAGTGTCTCACCTCTCTGCCCAGATGTCTCAATTGCAGCTAGCAAACACTTCTGTGAGAATTTTTCTGATTTTTTTAAGCTGAAAGGGGCTGAGACATTATGAAATCAGTACACAGTAGGTTATTTTAGTTATTCTAAGAAACCTGGAATATTCCAATTTTTACAGGTCATTCAAAGTAATGAAAAGCCACAGAGATAAAATATTAGGAATGTTGTATTTCAAAACTAGCTTTTAACTTGATATATCAAGTGGAAATTAATGGTTAATATAAATATATTCTATTGAAATTATATTGTTGTTTTTAATAAACAAAGTTCAGAAATGGACTTTATTATTTAATGCTAATGCTAGCATTATAAAGATTTCACATATGAAATTTCTGATGCATAAAAGTATTTTTAATCTTAAAATGAATAATACTTTGCATGATAGATAGACAACATGCAAAAAGAAAAAAATGACATGAGAAAAACATTGCTTTATAAGCCTTAAGAAAAATATCTGATATTTTGCGTATGAAAGCATTGTAATATTTACTGTTACTCTGCCAAATTTTAACATTCGCTTATTAATTTAAAAGTTATAGCATGAAAATAATAACAAGCACAAAAGGGTTACGAGGTTAGTCTGAGGGACCGAGCCAGTGCTGAAAGAGTTGAAGGGGCTCCTGTTGAGAAAGGTTAACTAGTTACATAATTTATCCTGTTTTAAAAAGTGAAAGTGATCCTTTAATCACTAACATGCACAGCTCTATTTATTAAAAGGTAAACATTAAAGTTATCATGAAAATGGCCCATTATAATAAGTTTCTTTTTTAATTTTTTACAAACAGTGTATATTAACAATAAAATCAATGAAAATATAGGGAACTTAAGATGAATGACATGATGAACAAATTAGTTTCTTTGCATAATCTAGAATAAAATAATCCTACTGTTTTAGTGAT